ATCATTTATGTGCTTCTATCTGTGGTATGCAGACAACATATATATATTTTAACCAATAGAAATGCTTCGTGATCGATGATAATGAGGAAGCTTATACTGTTTAGAATTATGTGCCCAGAGGGCTTTCATAAATTCTTTTGAGCAATTTTGGTGGCCTGCGGCGGTCAACTTCCTTCCTCCCTAACAACCCTCAAAACTCAACTATAATACCACCAAAAAATTCGAGAAAAAAAATATGATTGAAGACAATCAGAAGCCGAGATATTTTAAGTTTTATTTTAAATTCACAAATCAAAATTCGAAGTCCTGGTAGCAGTTACAGTATTGCACGAGGTGTTACCAACTTGTTGTTGTGGCATTGTAGACATTTACAGGGGTTTTCCGTGGCATTGTAGTCTTTTACCGTTATATATATCACAGGTCTTAAACACCTACAGCTATGGACCATGCCTGTCCCAGCCAAAGCAATATTTGTAACAGATATTCATGGAGCGACTCATAAGTCGTGTTAGAAAACCATACCGATACTCTATTTTCTTTCTTCAATCAATTACTGTTGTGCACAAGATCTGTTGTAGAATTTAAAAAGGAAGGCCTTTCCGGTCGTAAAATAAATAAATTAAACACTTTCTGAAAGGAAACTTTTATTACGTTCCTCGTAAAAGTGCCAATCAAAATGAAATTTTGACTTTTACAAATATCATAGATGCTTACTCGCCATTCAAAAATGTATTCGCCCGCAACGCAACCAACCCCCACGCTGAAATACAAAAACCCGAATAACTCAACAACCAGATATTGAATGAAAGATATAAGAGTACAGCGTGATAGAGCAAATACAGGAGATGAGTATAGACTATCTGTAAAAATTAAAAGTTGTAGTTATTGCCTCCCTTATCTTTAATACATGCTATAATGCGAGAAGGCATACTACCTATCAACCCATTGATTTTCCCCTGGGGTATAGCGTCCCATTCTTCAATAAGTATAGTTCTGAGAGTAGTGATCTTAGTGACCTTAGGCCTGCGGGTAGAGATACTATCTTTCATATAGTCCCAAGTAATCTCAATTGGATTCAAGTCAGGTGATGATGATGGCCAACCCTCCTGCACAATGCCTGCTTTATCCCTCTCCCCTTTTAATAAATAATGACTGTGAGGTCCGGCACCATCCTCCATAATAACAGCTTCATCTTTTTGTTGTTTTACTTTGTGAAAAAAAGGGTAGAGGTGGGGCTTTAGTACAAGGTTCCGGTACCTGTACCAATCAATGCCTTTGACTCCCTTTTTCTGGGTTTTTTCTTTGGTCAATTTTTTAGGTGGTCGACCTCTTTTTTTGGCAGGAGGAGGGACTGTCTTTTGTAATGCTTGTGCTGCCGCTTCCAGTTCATCGTTCTCAATTTTGAGTAGTTGTGTAGCAATTTTCTTTTCTTTGACGGTTTCCGGAATCCACACATACCCTAGCCCTTTCATACCAGAACAAATTGCTCCCCAAAATATTATAGACCCGCCTGATTATTTCTTGCGATCTACAGTTCCTTTATCACCTTGGTACTCCTCTCCAGGCCATCGCCAAACACCATTCTGGCCCCGTACTTGTGCAGGAACAATACTCATCTCATCTGTAAAAATCAAGGTGGACCAATCAGTCTCTTTATGTTCTTTACACCACTTCAATCTATTCCCTTTCTGAATACGGGTAAGGATAGGTTTCCGCCGAGGTTTCCGCCAATGTAGTCCAGATTTATTGAGATATTTGCGGGCTGTTTCAATAGAAATATTGAGACCTGCCTCCTCAACAATGGTGGCTAAAGTAGAACGACGGTTCTCAGGTTTTTCTGCTGTATGAATAAGATATCTCTTCTCTCTAGCTGAAACAGCCTCTGGACGGCCAGATTTTGGCTTCGGGTTGACATTTTCTTTGTCAAGCAGTTTTTTCAGCCCCACTTTCTCCCCCGCATTTGCTCTTGCCTTTGCCCTATGAACAAGATCTACCGCTGTACGTCAATTTCTTTATAAGAAAGACCTTGCTTATAAAGAGCAAGTACACCGCCAACCTTAACTGGGTCTGTGGGGTGCCCTCGCATGGACATGGGGGCGGCTCTAGGTGCCATATAGCTCGCTAAAGTCATACTATTATTACCACAGATCTTATTGGAATAAGAATAATTAACTACCTACAAACTATTGAATACAGGCACGAGTACTACTGGGTCTGGTGGGGATCGTTATCGAATACTTTGGTGGGGAATTGCATGAGATGCGGAGGAGTTCGCATGAGTTCGGAGGGAAGTTCGGGGGGGCGCGCGCAATTCATGAGGTTCCCGTTGTCGGGCGATCACATTTTTGAATGGCGAGTAGATAAGCACAATCAATCGCATTCCGCTTCGCTCCGGCATACATGTATACCTCGACCTCCCTTTACCCCTGAAGCTTGTAATATCTGGCGGCATCCCCTCTGAAAGATTGGTGTTTCATCTACTTCATTAACTGAACGCAACTATTGTACTCTAAGGCTCACCGGAGGAGGTTTCTCTGGATATGGCCGAGAATTGAGGAAAACGGCTATTAGGTGCAAATTTTCAATGAATTCCCTTTGGTATCCGAGAAGGATTTTGTCTTATCGAATATGAAGGGTCAGAACCTGAATGCCGAGGAATTGCCAGCTTTTACGGTTGGCTCTAGAGAGTTCCGGGGTACAGCTTTTGTAGGTATTGAAAATCGTGTTTGAGTGTCACTTGGGAAGATTTTAATCCGTCCATTTTCAGGCTTTGGTGAAGAGTTACTTAGAAGTAATTGATTATTTGTCTTTGAGGGTGCTTCCATCCCTTCGTCATAATTTTCATCGCTGGGATCCAACTCCAGGCCCCCTTTCCGACGATTGGATTGAGAGATAGTAAGATTGGTAATTTTTTGGGCTGAAAATACAAATTGGCTACCTTCGTCCGTTTCTCCCGCTTCTGGCGATATTACCGATAAGTCTCGAAAGGGTACTTGTGATAAATCTCGTGGTTTTGAAGGATGATATTGATGATTATACTGACCCTTGTTGTAGGATCTGGGTATAGCAGCGTATCTTGGTTTTTATGATATTCTTAATCAACATGGCGTCCATTGCTTTAACTAATAAATTTTGTTGAGTTCCGAAGGGTCGCTGGGGGGCGGGAGATGATATTCAGCCTCGAGACATCTGTCCACTCGAAATCAGATCTCGACAAGACAGCGCAAGAATTGTCTTTGGTCTGATAGTATTCTATCCGAATGCCTGTATCGGGTGTTAACATCGGTCGAATATAATGCTCTCCTAAAGCACCAGAACTGTTTTCAGAAGCCTTGGTGATCCTGAACTCTGGTGTGTCTGGTGAAAATCTAAAAGAGATCAGCTTTTCTTCGTAAAAACATTTACGCCAGTGACAGAGGTAGGGGTTTTGATTTGACTTAACGGAAGAATACACGTGGGATTGGGATTAAACGGTGTTGCCTCAGATTGAATGGGTTTATCCTCGTGATGATCCTTGAGAGTTTTGTCAGGGAGTGTACGCTCTGTTGGCCCGAGCCCCAAAATATCTCGTAGAGCGACTTTCTCAGGTCTGGATTTTCATTCACATCCGCCTAATCCTATTAAATGAAGTTTGTCCACCAATTAAAACTTCAAAGTTAACTCTTATGCAATCCGTGTGCTGCTCCTGGGCCATAGGTAACTCGCTAGCACTTATGGCCGTTCCATCAGTCAGAGTGACTTTTTTGACTTGGTATTCATTTGCGCCAGGGATCCTGGCGCAAGATCCAGTGATCTAGCGGTTTGTTCGTGATTCCCTTCGAGCACCCCCGCCTCATACCAGTGCACTAGGAATAGTGGAAACGTAACGTGGCTCCCTAGAATATACCGGAAAGCAAAGTTCTGAGGAACGGCACTTCCCCAAGGGAAATTTGCCCCTTCATAGCGAAACGGGGTTCAACTGAGTAAGTATAAGGTGATTGACGTTGACGATGGGTTTGAAGAGGCTGATGCATCGTCGGCGTGAATGACGATGCATGTAAAATTCCAAGATGAGCTCACTGAAATTTTTGCACCTGAGAAATCTAGCTGGGGAAAAGCTACTCTCTCAAGGAAACCAAGGAAGTAAATACTCGAGTATTATAGGCTTAAATGAATCATCCTTCCTCTGTTTTCGGGGTATCTATGGTTCGCTGTGGCATGCTAGACCGTATTTTTGGCCATTCAGAAGATCTTCCGGCCGCCGAGGACCTTTATCACACCTTTACCCCAAATCTGGTAACCCCGACCCCTCGAAGCTACCCTACTCAGGGCATAGATCAGGTACCGGGAGATAAACTTTATTTTTTACTGGCTAGTCAAAGCGCTAGTGTACTCTAGAGTAGAGTAGAGCATTGCAGTGATCCTCATACACGCTCTTCATATCGCGGGTGAGTAGAGTAGACACTCGCGCACCCGGGTCAGTCGCGCACCATAGAAATTGGCCAACGTTGATTGGTTGCAATGATTGAATTGGTTGTTCAAGAGTTCGAGTTTCTTTTTTTTAATTGGTAGAAGCAATCCTGGATCCACTGAATTGATTGGATAGGTTTGTATGTCGTAGCTGCGCATACGACCTTAAGCTCTATGGTCTGAGGATGCTCTGTGTAGCGAGATGCAAACCATCCAAATGCCACATATCAGGGATAATGACTTCCAGCCAGTCAAATTAAACATTCCATTGAGCCGCAATCAAAACAGATGTCTTTTAGCCGCATGATGTCATCCGACACCCTGGGATCAACCTACTTTACAACAACCAACCACACAATACGTACTTGAACAGGAAGTTGGCCTGAATAATAATAAAAATCAGTTGAATCGTCAAAATTTATGACGTCAGGCGCCTCGGTTTTCTGTAGAGTTGGATCTATAAAATGGCATCCTCAAGTGCTCTCGCATTTCACCATTATTGCCGCTCCTACTCCTAGAAAGATTTTAGTACTCTTTGTCGTTCGCTCGTCATGCTTGCGCTTCTCCCAGTGTTGGCGTTATTTTCGTACGGAGCTCTTGGTGTCCCTACAGATCTTATTGTTCGAGACGCTTCAACAGACCTTGTCGCCAGGAGTGTTGTAGATGACTTCAATAATTTTATCTCCAGTGTTTCAGATAAAATAAATGTGGATGAGATCAAGCAAGGCATCCTCCCGGATTTCTTTTCAAATATTCCAGACGAGCAAGGAATTAAGGATCAACTGGGGCTCAACGACACTCAAATCGATGAGCTTCCTCTCGAAGTCTTAAACATTCCGTTCGTAAACCCCCACCCTCTTCTCTTTTTGCACTTTAAACTAACCACCTATCCAGTGGCTACGCAAACTACACAGGCCGCGGCTGGAACCTGCGTATTCATGGACAGGCATACAAGCAGCCTCTCTCCCCAAGAACTACAGTCTCAAATGTGACTCTTGATAAGGCAGCAAATGTTTTCCTTCCGGATTTAGACATAGACCAGCTGCAACCGCATGAAAAAGACAATGCGAGAAATCTTACGAGCGCCATTTTATCTTTACCGCAGGAGGATGTACAGTTGGTTTTCACATTGAATGTAGCAGAAGGTCAGAACTTCAGCGGCGGATGGAACGGGGAAATACAATGGGGGAAGTTAACCGATTCAAGAGGTACATTTATAGCATCTTTATTAGAAGAAACGAAACTAATAAATATGTAGGAGAAATCGATGGTTTTGTTCAACTTCCCGCGAGTGCGAATGATTTGCCACCTGGTAACACTACCACGCAAATCACCAGGTTGGATATTCATACAAATGGCACTGACAGTAAGGTTCTCCTAAAAACCCCTTCTAATAATAGGAGGCTCACTATCGTTCAGCTGGTAATGCAACTGGCTACCTTGTACCCAACCAAGGGATCACGATCATCTCCGACATAGATGACATCCTGCGTGTTACCAAGATCTACCAACCTCAAGAGGGCTTACTTAACTCATTTGCTCGTGACTTCGTCCCTTGGTTAAATATGCCTTCTATCTATGACACTTGGTCGACTCAACACCCTGAGAACCCATACCACTTCCATTACCTCACTACTACACCAGAGCAAGCTACGAGGGTCTATATGCAGTTCATATATCACACATACCCTGTGGGATCCTTTGACACCCGCCCTCTGAATTTTACTACCGTCGATCAGACATTTTCCGTTAGGAAGACCTTGCTGAATAAGATTTTTGAGACCTTTCCGCAACGTCAGTTCGTACTTGTCGGTGATACCACAAATAACGATGTGATGAAGGATTACCCAGAGTTGGTGACACGTTTTCCAGGCCAGGTTGCTTGCATCTTGCTGCGGAATACTTCCGCTACAGATAGTGGAAATAAGTTCCCCTATGATACAAGTGGATTTGAGAACCTGAAACAGGAACAGTACATGTTCTTTAACACACCGGATGATCTTACGGGACTTGATTTCACGAGAGGAGACTGTCGGAATAACAGTGCACAGCTGGGAACTGTAGAATTTGGATGGCAGGGGTTGCCTTTTGATAGCAGTGCTATTAGTAGGAAGGGAACAGCGACAGTGTGGTCTGCACTTTTTATGATGGTGATTGCAGTATTTTGGTGATAGTCTAGGGATTTAGGTTGTTCTTTCTTAAAACATGACTCTTGTAGTGGCTTGTCTTTTGTAATTGAGTTTAATATCCGCAGGCGGGTGATGGTGAATATTATGCGCAAAAGCAATTCAAACATATATATAGTTCATCATCACGTCCGGCCATCCACCATATTAATTTATTTAGCTTTTACCTCTAGTACAGTGTCTGTATATATGTAGCTCTGGTCTGAATACTGTTCAGAATATATTAGATATAGCCGCAGGAAGTGTCAACACCTGTCCTCTTACAGATCAACTACCTTGTAGTGATTGATTGACTCTTGCCCAGATTTTCAAAAGTCTTGTGATCATTGCCACGGCTCATGCATATGTATCTTTATCGTTGAGTTACCTATGCCGCGGTGCCAAAATATGCGGTCATTGCGGATATTAGGAGATCAGACGAATATGTAAACACGCGGGGCCATATCTAATCAAGTAACGGTGCAAAATAAAACACAGTGCCGGGGGTTGTGGGTTAATACGAAGAACCCCATTTTGGGCTGTGAGAGCGCATGATTGGTTGAAGCTGCATTTTCAACCAATGGGGCAGAGTTCTTCACATTAATGGTGAACACCCGGTATGTATACAGTCGCTGTACAGACGTACATGTTACAAGCGGAGTGCGGCCTCCGGCCACCCAAATGTGGTGAGGAAATGAAGGTGCGGGCGTTACTGCGATAGTAATTTCTTAGATTATTGCTGTCATTCTGGATTATTGGGTCATCCAAACGTACAGGCACGCACTGAACTTCATCTCCGTCTCTCCTTATAGGTAATCTGTGATATATTAGCTCTAATATGCACTCTAAGTTATTCATATAGTTCATGATAAAATGCTATCAGGGAAATTCGACCTTGATATATAAAAATATAGCTGTAGTCTCTACCACGACAGGAAATGCATCGAACGATGCATTTCCAACACATAGCCCATACAAACATCTGCGCTTAATGCAACGGTTGATGCATTAGCTGATGACGCCTGCCCAAAACCTACCCGATCGATGCATTTACAACACAATATCGATCCATTTCAGTGACCTTTACCCACGACTTTGCTCACACATTATCTCCTGCCGCGCCATTACTGTATGTACGACTTTGCTGACCACTTTACACCAATCAACGACTTTGTATACAAAATATTTGACGATATATCCCAAATGTAAAAAGTAAGCGACGTATTTAATAACACAATTACAAACGATATAATCGGAGGTGTTTTCATCCGGTGAACCTCGGATAACGACTTGACTGTTACTTTGTCCAACACAATACTGTACAACTTTCTTACCCCTGTAAAGTATCAAGAAGTTTGACAACGAAATCACTGACGATATAACGCACGACTTTGTGAACAATATGTCTCGTGACTCCGCCATACATGTAAACGGTAAACGAATTTACCAGCACATATATTGACGAAATATGACGGGCATGTCTTCCCTGCTTAGGAACAGATAATGACTTCACCAATATCTTTAATTTGTGAACGATAAAGCAAACGATTTTCCACTGTGGGGAACATCGTGACGCCATCAAGTTACCTATCAGATTTATTACTGGCGACGATTTTACAGATACATTGACTAACTACATACTCAACGCCTTTCCGTTCCGTCAAAACCCAGACAATGACTTTACTGACAACATACTCTACCACTTTAGTCAAAGCCCAGTTTCGGGCAACAAATTTACAAACAAAATCACTCACGACTTGTCTGACCATTTTCTCCATAGCCCATTGCGGATAACGACTATATCAACGATTTGAGATACGATATATCCAACAACTTTCTCACGATGTAAATCCAGATGACGAGTTTACTTGCACTTATGTTAACGACTACATTGACGACTTATCCTGTGGTGCTTTCTGCATTATTTTCTATTAACGATATTACTAACGACTTTACTCAAGATTTCACTGATGACTTTTCCGGCGGCGTTTTCTGTCTTGTCTGATAGGGACGACTTTACCGACTGCATTCATGACGATTTTATTGGCGATTTATCCCGCGATGTTTTCTATCAAAAATTAGTCATTAATCGTGTACGAGTTTACTTACGATTTTGCTGATGATTTTATCTTAAAATTCAAAACACAAGTTACGACTTTCCGTACGACCTTCCATACGACCTCCCGTACGACCTCCCGTACGACCTTCCATACGACCTCCCGTACGACCTTCCATACGACCTCCCGTACGACCTCCCGTACGACCTCCCGTACGACCTCCCGTACGACCTCCCGTACGACCTCCCGTACGACTTTCACTACGATTTTACCTACGATTTTACCTACGATGTTCTTGGTTATTGTTTTGTCTTGGTCCGACATTTTTCAGCAAACGACTTTACTTGCTATTTTACAAACAACATTTCCGACCACTTTTTCTTGCGGGACTACACGCAATTTCTGTTAACTACGACGACGAGTTTCCAACACCTTTACCCACGGTTTATGGATGACTAGACTGAGTAATTAGTTCAGACAATCACTTACGAATTTGCGAACACATTTACTTGTAATTTTACAAACCCTTAATGCGATCGACAAGATTCCTGACGACTTTCCTGCTACATTTACTTACGATTTTCCGAATCCCATGCTAGCCATATTGGTGGCTAGCTTGATGCCCGCCCGCTAGTACTAGCCTGGCGTACCATGTTAATCCTCCACTACTCCCCCCCAGGAAACAGAAATCTGTTCTCTATGTGTTCGTTCCAACTGAAACCCTTCTTTGGCCAGAAGCAGGAGCTTCTGGACACCATGAACTCCTTGCCACGAGACTGAATCACGCCCACAAGCTCTTGCACGTCCCTCAGATCGACGTACTCTTTCTTGATCCTAGAAGAGTCCATCCGGTAGGCCAGCTTCAGTTTCTTTACTCTGCCTACATCAAGGCGTTCGATGTACGCAAGCATGTAAGGCTCGGGTTCCTGGTGAACAGGCTCCCCAGTTCCATCCCGGCCCAGTTCAGCAGAATTGGGTATCTCGGACACCACGTACTGCAGGTAATGCATGACCCTTCCAAAGTATGATGTATCGTTGTCATCCTCATCTGACAGTATATATCGGACCCAGGAGTCATTGCGCCTGTTGGTTGCTACCCCAGTCTTGGAGTTGGATATCTTGGAGCCCACGACTTCGTATTCGCTCCCATGGTTCAGGATTCTCCCTGCGACGGCCCTGCCCCAAAGCACCATGATATCAGACAGCAGGGCCGTGCTGTCCACTGCACGAACTGGGACGCCCAGCTTTTCAGCAATAAACTGCCGAAGACTTGCCCTTTCGTACTGGTTGAGCCTCCGTTTCTCCTTTGGTCCCATCAGCAAGCAGTCGGGGTACTGCACAGGGTACGCCACCTTGTCCTTCTTCGCAAGGCCAAACAATCGTTTGTCTTCCATGTCGTTGAAGCCTTCCGGAAGCTGTACATTGGTTAGTAATCAAAAGTGTTTCCAGAGGGGATGACCTACAACGGCGATGAATGGCAGGTGTTTGATCCTCTCACGCTCCAAGAGCTGCAGCGATAGATTGCGGTTCGCGGCTGAGCGACTATGGCACATTGCCTTGATTGTGCACACAGTCCTCTCCATGGGATACTGGTGGTAGATGGGGTTCGGCCCGCAAACCTTCATTGCGGTGGATAAATGAAGAACACCATGTACCTGGGTCGTGCAGCTTGATATTCTTGCTGTCTTATACTGGTAGTACAACCGCTCGTAATCAGTCACGACCCGGATCATATCCTCCTCCATCTCATCGATATCGGCCATCGTTAGCTGGTAGCGACGAGACTTCTCTGTTGCGAGGACAAAGTGGTGCCAGTGCTCATAGTATTCAGCCGGAAGTCGCTGATTCAGCACGATTGGGGATATTAGGTGCATGAAGTTCATGAGCTCTGTCGCTTTATAACTTGCATGGTACTTGATGTCCCTAAACGCTTTGCCAAACGCCGTCGGGATAGACCCTCTCGAATCTGCGATCTCTGCACCGATCCTGTCCCAAGCCTTCTTTGGAAGGATATATGATTCACTGTGATCATCAGCGGCAGCATTGAAGCTCACCACCTGTCTGCCCCGAAGCAGCCTCCGTCTTAAGGATCCTGCCTGCGACTGGGACTGGACGTCACTCTGACTTCTGGGTATTGCCTGCGAGTGGGATTGAGAACCGGCCTGCGAACCCTGTTGCAATAGTTCATCGTGCTCCTGAGAGTCTATATTCGCGTCAGAACGTGCTTGTGAATTATTGAAGTCTCTACCATCCTCCGTCCCCTGTTTTTTGAACAAAGCAGCGGTTTCCTTGTCCCGGTATATGCCCATCCAGTGGGCAAGATAAAGCCGGGGTGTGTTCTCGTCGAGCAGGTGCATCACATCAGGCGTGAAACACCAAGGGTACACGATGGATTTCAAGCAACTGAATATTGGCTCCCCATTAGTGCCCATGAGCTTACCCCAAGCGATGTTCTTGTCCTCTACGGCCTTATGGGTCTGCCTCATCTCTTCATCAGTCCACACCGGCAATGTGCGTGGATCCCAGGACTTTTCTGGGTAGTGGCCGCTCTTTTTTGCTGCCCTAGGCTTGCGCTTCCGCTTGTTGGATGAGGGGCCCGGCTGTGACTGTCCAGATGATGGCTCTCCCTGCGATGCCTCCTGTTCCGATACAGCAGCACGGTCCCGCGGAGGCTCGAGTGGGCAGTATATGTGGCCTTCGCTGATGCCGTAGATGGCACAGAACCTGCAGTAGCGGTAGCTGTTTGGTCCCGTCCACTTCATCAGCTTGGCCATAGCCATCGTGTCGCCAGAGATCAGTGCAATATGAGCGCGTAGCTGGAATGCTTCCTTACGCAGCCCATCCCACCCTTTGACACCAGCCTGCAGAGTTACAAACTCGTCCACCAACGGCCTAAGGAACGAGCTGATATCCTTGGGGTTACCAGGACCTGGTATGATCCCGCACAGGATCAGGTTCTTCTTCAGAACCCTCTCTGCTGGAGGAATGTTGAGGTTAACCAGGAGTAAAGGCCATACATCATATTGCCCAATCTAGCGTCATAGTCGTTAGTAACTGAACACCAGAGGGCGGCACAGCCTTACATTAAACAAAGACGATCCATCCGTACTGAATATAAAGCCTACGTCTCTGTGCTCAGTCCATATGTCTCTTGTTGATTTGAGTGTAGAGAAAAGGAGACTGTCCCAGTAATCTCTCGTGGACTCTCGCTCGTTCTCGTTCGCCGGTGGAAATGACGACTTGTAAGCCACACTTGTTCGGACATATTCTGAGTCACTATACATGAGTAGTAGACGGTGTATCAGTGGGATGTAATCAAAGGTCTTATATGGCTTCCCTTTGCCATCGAGCCTGTCAGCCTTGCAGATTGGACAGTTCGTTGCATTGGGATATTCGGCAAAACACAGGCAGTTATTTCGACAAACATCGTATCGGACGTGGTGGATCTCTGTAATCAGTCCCAGCTCCTTTCTGGCAGTGGCTTCATCCGAGATTGATACAAAGTCCTTCACAGCCCTGATGTATCGCTTATGGGTGTCCATAGCTACGTTGCCGTCCATGCGGACCTTCATCAATGTTATATGTTTCAAGATCGGTTCTGAGAGTGTGATGTTCGGAATAGCACTATATGGGAAGTCTGTCAGTATTTGTGGGTCTTCATCCTCGCTGTATTCTAAGTCTTCTTCGTCAACGCTGCCATTTGAATCATCTGGATCGTCAGAGTCATCGGGGTCATTTTCCCACATATGTAGAGACTCCACCTCATCGTCCAGATTTGGAAGGTTTTCTTCTGGCATCTCGTGATCTGGAAGGGTAGGTGGGGTACCAAGCACATCACTACTATCAGAAGAGCTTGGCTCACTGCCTGGGTCATCTGCTGAGTTGTCAGCCGCTGCATATATATCAACCGGAGACATATGATCCAGTGTTGCCTCGTCTTCTGAAAGCTCCGCTGGGTCTGGCTGTGTTTCTTGTATGACTTCTTCCGCACCATGGCCATATGCCTGATCAACTGTAATTGACCATTCACGGTGGTATATCCCACTGTTTTGGGAGTCAGGCACAACCAACTGGGTCGAAGCATGCTCTTGACTCATCATCCCTACGGACTCGGCCTCCTCCTGTACATATGGGTTGGGTTCCAGCGGCTCTTGGGAGTGTTCTTGTATGTTATGTTGTGGAGATTCATTACAATGTATTGATTGGGGTAGCGATATGTTATCACGATGATCACCATTATACCTCGGTGCTAGAGGTCTTATGGCAGGAGCGGGCTCTCTCTGAATTATGGTGCGTACCCTACGCCCTCGGCGTCGTGGCGGATTACCCATGGGTCTGCCGTCTTCTAACAAAGGTCCCATATTATCGTTGAATACTGGTGAAGCCCCCACAGATAGTGCATGATCATCAATACCTCTGTCAATAAATACTGGAGAGTTGAGCAGTAGGTCAAGAGCTTGCTGGTTATCAGGCTGAGATTGAATGATATCACCGTGATTTGATGCCTGTGGGCTTGGAGACTATCAAATGGTTAGCAGCGTGACATCTGCACCGTATGATACTGACATTGATTGCATTGGGCTCTTCCTGCTGATTTCTCAATGCCTGTTGACGCCGGTGCTGGAACCATACGCTCCTCACGACACGGTGAGGTAGCCCATCAAGTAAATCACAGTAGCAAAGACGTTTCTCTCCCGGGGTCCATCGTTGTGGTAAACCGTCTGACATCGCGTGAAAATGATAATGATGATCTTTTCTATTCCCATGAATACCGGACGTTGAGCATCAAAATGTTACACAACGCGGAAATCGCTAGCTCGATCCTGCATACATGTATACAAAGTCTCCCTGCACATCTAGCGATCTGGTCAATACACACCACTTATACTGCCGGCTGTGTGTCTTCCCCTCCCCCACCTTACACACAAAAGAACCATCCATCAAAATAGTATATCAAAGCTCAAAACACCACATATACCATGGAGGTCTTTCCATCCACTCTCATCTAACATACCAAAACTAACTCTCTACGTATAGTCAATGGGTGATGTTAGTCATGCTCTTGCTCCAAACGACATGCTTCTCTTCGCAGAATTCAAGAAATGGAAGGAAAAAGAGCAAGCCAATAATGATGCAGCCAAATACAAAGTAGCCAGGACCAGCAAGCCTACTCCTGCTGTTGCCAAATCAAATGAAAGACAGCGGATTACCAAGAAACGTTCATTCGCAGAACAGCTTATTGCTGATGAAACTGGGGGCGAAGAGTGTAATGGCAGCTATGTATTTCGGCTAGGTGATGAACTGGGATGAGGGAAGGAGGTATCGTGCAGTGGAATTAGGATTTGTAATGGGGATTTCTGTTATGTTCTTTGGGTTTCTGTTACGCGAAGGTATTAGTCATTGTTGGATTATGGATGGATATATAAGGGGGCGTTGTCTCGTGCTTTTGTCTGTTTTCCTTCTTCTCTTTCTTCCTTACGCAACCTCTGTATTTATTCCACGAATACTATTCTCTGTCCGCACTACGTCATAGGGCTCCAACCGGTTTATCATACCAGGCAGAGCCACCCCATAGTCCATAGTCAAAGCATACCTTTACATCTACGTTCACGTCTACGTCACTACCTAGGTTGTATTCCTTGGCACCACAGTCTATTGCCTACAGTCCCCGTGATACGTAGGTTGCGTCCTCTATCGCCAACCAATACAACACCATAGCCTACAATGTCGGAACATGTCCATGTCGATTATCAACAACTCAACGATAACCTCCAAAGATTTTTTGAAGCGCATCCACAGGTCGATCATGTTGTCGGAGCTGAAGCTTATGCGCTTCTTCAACAGTGTCAAAATGGTCTTACTCAATATGCAACGGATTTACAAGAGGTAGAAGCGGAGGCTGAGAGGGCAAGAAGAATGTTTGAACGAGATCTTACTGCTGCCCGAGCTCAACAAACTGCTGTTCAGATTGTGGCCCCTGACGAAGAACCTATTGGAAATAATGCTCCACCTGTACCCCCAGCACCACCAGTTACCGGTACCACCTATCGGTCGGAGAAACTCCCAGACCCCGACGTGTTCAGGGGGGATCGTGACCGGGAAAGGCTACACTTATTTAAGCAACAAATGAAACTTAAGCTATTAGGAAATGCCGATCGCTATCCTACACTACAGTCTAAGTTATCGTACGCGTTCAGCAGATTGGAAGGTGCTGCTGCCAATCAGTTTTTACAATACATGGGAGAAGAAGGTATTGCCTTACCTTCTATGATACGGTTTTATGAGATTCTGGATACAGCTTTTGGAGACCCCGATCGAATGCGTACAGCTAGAAGAAATCTTCGGAACATCAGACAACGCACTCGAACCTTTGCCGATTATTTTGCTGAGTTTCAACGGTATGCTGCTGAGTCGGGTATGGATGAAGTCTCTCGGATTGAGGCTTTGATGGAAGGAATTAATGGGGAACTGGACGAATCGATGATACACCATGAGACTCCTGCAACGGTAGATGGTTGTGCAACACTCTTGCAACGATTGGATAACCGACGACGGGCGGCGGAAGCTAAGCGAGGTAGTAAAAAACCTTGGACTACTACTGCGACCCCGGCTCCGCGCCCTCCACCAACAAATCCTGTTCCTGCTCCCCGTCCTGCTGCCCCTGCTGCCAACCCACCTGCTACTGAGAATCACCCCTCATTCCGTCCTGGAGGTGATGTACCCATGGACCTGTCTGGAGGACGTCGTCGCCCTACCCCTGCCGAAAGAAACGCCCGATTAGCTGAGGGCCGATGTTTCTATTGCGGAGGTGTCGGGCATATGGTTAGAAATTGCCCCCAAGCGAGGGCAACTGGAAATCAACCAAGGAGGCCTGTGATGAGAGGAGCGGCGTTGACAGTGGAAGAAAATGATGGAAGCGATAATGAGTCGGCAAAAGATTTGTCCCTGCACTAAGTGGCTTAGCCCAGGGACCGTTTAAGGATTTTTCTAAGATGTGTATTTCTGGTTTTTCGGTATCAGAGGAGGAAATGGATGGAAATCAACTTGTAGTAACTTGTTCGATTTCACAGAATAAAAATTCGTTTATACCTACCTACGCCCTTATTGATACCGGAGCATCAGGATATGCTTTCATTGATGAATCCTTTGCACGCCACAACAATCTTACAATGACCCCCCTTAAAATACCTCGCCATGTAGACGTTATAGACGGAAGGCCTATTAAGTCAGGAAAAATTACCCATATTGTCGATGTCTCGCTAGACATTCATGGTCATCGGGAGACGGCGCCATGTTTTGTAACGAAGTTAGGACACTATCCGATTGTGATGGGGACACCTTGGATGCGACGACATGATGTTATGATTCGACCAAAAGAAAATCTACTTGTTTTTGACTCTCGAAGCTGTTGTCAACACTGTTCACTCAGTGGAACTGCAGTTATTGTTCATGGTATCTCGATCCCCTTACCGGAACACCATACAGTCATCGTTTCAGCAACCGAGAAATCCACTATCGATATCGAACAATTAGTACCGAAAGAATTTCACCATCGTCTTCATATGTTCAAAGAATATGATGCTTCAATTCTCCCACCACATCGACCATCCCATGACATCGAGATAGTATTAGAGGAAGGCAAACGACCACCATATGGACCTATATATGGATTATCTCAAATTGAGTTAAAAGCACTACGAGAATATCTTGATGAAAATTTACCCAAAGGATTTATTCGAGCCAGTGAATCACCAGCGGGAGCACCCATACTGTTTGTGAAGAAAAGCGATGGAACCCTCCGACTTTGTGTTGACTATCGAGGCCTAAATGCGATTACAATCAAAAATCGATATCCATTACCATTGTTGAAAGAAACCCTGGCTAAGTTATCAAGAGCACGATACTATACTAAGTTGGATTTACGATGGGGATATAATCAAATCAGGATAGCGGAGGGAGATGAATGGAAAACAGCATTCCGGACTCGATATGGACATTTCGAATATACAGTAATGCCGTTTGGATTAGCTAATGCCCCTGCTACATTTCAGCATTGGATCAATGATATTCTACGTCCCTACCTCGATCAATTCGTAACAGCATACTTAGACGATATCCTTATCTATTCCGAGACCCTATCAGAACATAAAGAACATATTCAAAAGGTTCTAAAGGTACTTGATGAAAATCATGTTCACCTTAAACCTGAAAAATGTGAATTTATGGTTCAGGAAACAAAATATCTTGGTTTAATCCTTACTCCGAATGGGAATAGAATGGATCCAAAGAAAGTTATCGATGTTTTGGAATGGACTACACCGACAAACCTTCGTGATGTTCAAGTATTCCTAGGATTTGCAAATTTCTACCGACGGTTTATTTTGGGATATTCGAAAATTGTTGCCCCGCTTACAGCCTTGACAAAGAAAAACGTTAAATTTGAATGGACGGATGAAAGGGAGGAAGCATTTCAGACTTTGAAAAAGATGTTTACAACGGCACCGATACTAGCTCATTTTAATCCAGATCGAAAAATTGTGATAGAAACTGATGCATCCGACTATGTTTCAGCAGGAATCCTATCTCAACGTGACAACGAAGGAATTCTACATCCAGTTGCTTTCTTTTCCAAGAAACACTCTCCCGCAGAATGCAACTACGAAATCTATGACAAAGAGCTTTTAGCAATTATACGATGTTTTGAAGAATGGCGACATCATCTGGAGGGAGCTCAATTTCCAATTGAAGTTCTTAGCGACCATCGGAATCTTGAGTATTTTATGACAACAAAATTGTTAAATCGTCGACAAGCCCGTTGGTCCGAATTTCTTTCACGCTTCGATTTCGTTATACAATTTCGGCCAGGAAAACAAGGAACAAAACCAGATGCATTGACTAGGAGGTCAGGTGACCTACCTAAAGAGGGGGATGAACGGTTAACGCATCAGAGTCAAGTGATTCTGAAGCGAAAAAATTTGGATACCAAGCTAAGTTTGTTCGCGGGTTCTTTGTCAAATGAATCCGCTGAAGGAGCGTCCACTGTAGAGGAGTTATTTTCAAAAGCTTACCAAGTGGATAGTTTCCCAAACAAGGTTCTCAATATGCTTCGGAATGGCATACGCCACTCAAACAAAATCTCACTTGCCGAATGTATGGAAGATAACAACGGTCGGCTGCTTTATCGAGGCATGCTATATGTACCAGACGATGATGACCTTCGACTAAGGCTTTTAAAAGAATATCATGACAAACCATCTGCAGGACATCCGGGTAGAGCGAAGACTCTGGAGCTCCTAAGTCGAGAATATTACTGGCCACAGATGCGGAAGTTTGTCGATCAGTATATTAGGAATTGCAATGTGTGCACCCGTAGCAAGGCATCACACAATGCACCTTATGGAGTACTTCGCCCCATGCCAATTCCCGATGGACCCTGGACAGATGTCTCGATGGACTTTGTAACTGATCTTCCTGAGAGTGATGGGTATAATGCGATTTTGGTCGTGGTGGATAGACTAACCAAAATGCGGCATCTGATACCAACGACAAAGGAGGCGGACTCACAGGAAGTAGCAAGGCTATATATTGATAACGTCTGGAAGCTACATGGATTACCCGACACTATGGTATCCGATCGAGGAACACAGTTCGTCGCGGAATTCTGGAGGTCCCTTTGTGATCGATTGGAAATCTCGCCAAAGTTCTCTACTGCATTCCACCCCCAAACAGATGGACAGACAGAAAGAATTAATGCCATAATGGAACAATACCTCCGAAGCTATGTTTCCTATCAACAAGATGACTGGGTCCGATGGTTACCGATGGCTGAATTTGCAACCAACAACCACGTTTCCGAAACAACAAAAGTTTCCCCCTTTTATGCTAATTCGGGAAGGAATCCTAGGATAACATTTGGGCCTTTGGAACATGGTCGAACGACGGCGGAGGATCAAGCGAACCGTATTGCAAGGGAAATGAAGGATGTGGTGGACTTCCTAAGAGAAGAAATGTTCCGGGCGCAAAGGATACAAGAAGAATCAGCCAATAGGAATCGAACTCCAGCTCCTCGATATTATTTAGGAGATAAGGTTTTTCTCTCGACCCGTCATATTCTAACAAAGCGACCCTCTAAGAAATTCGATTGGAAACGTATTGGACCTTATAGCGTTAAACGAATCGTTAATCCCTATGCTTACGAGTTGGAACTTCCCCGGTCGATGAAAATTCATCCAGTATTTCATGTTTCGTTATTGTCACCTGAAGCGAATGATCCTTTACCAGGACAACAACGATTACCACCACCTCCGGTTGAAATCGAAGGGGAGGAAGAATGGGAAGTCGAAGATATTTTGGATTCGAGGAAACGAAGAGGAAGATTTGAATATTTGGTACGATATATGGGATATGACGAAGCCTCCTGGCAACCGCTATCGGACCTTGAACATTCACCTGAAATTATTAGACGATTCCATAAGCGTTATCCAGAGAAGCCTAAGCCTACCAGGAGGTAGGCCTTAGAGGGGGGCGTGGTCTGTAATGGCAGCTATGTATTTCGGCTAGGTGATGAACTGGGATGAGGGAAGGAGGTATCGTGCAGTGGAATTAGGATTTGTAATGGGGATTTCTGTTATGTTCTTTGGGTTTCTGTTACGCGAAGGTATTAGTCATTGTTGGATTATGGATGGATATATAAGGGGGCGTTGTCTCGTGCTTTTGTCTGTTTTCCTTCTTCTCTTTCTTCCTTACGCAACCTCTGTATTTATTCCACGAATACTATTCTCTGTCCGCACTACGTCATAGGGCTCCAACCGGTTTATCATACCAGGCAGAGCCACCCCATAGTCCATAGTCAAAGCATACCTTTACATCTACGTTCACGTCTACGTCACTACCTAGGTTGTATTCCTTGGCACCACAGTCTATTGCCTACAGTCCCCGTGATAAAGAGGATGCTGATGACGATACTATCGAAGATGAATCTGTCCATGGGTCCAGTGATGGTGAAGGTGCTGCTATCGGTGACTTTGTTCCACAGAACCAGAAGGCAATTGATGATCTATTAGATGTGGCAGAAAGCAAAACCCCGTTGATAGAACAGATGGGTATCGGCGTATATAACAACCTCAAAAACCGCGAGGAGTACAAACGTCAACGGGCCATTGCCAGAGAGGCTCTCGAGGCTAAACCGATGCAGTTTATCATTGGTTCGAAATGGACTGATGTTAAGACTAAAGCCACCAGGCAGATTCTCATTAACAAAGTTAAACATGCTCTCGCCGAGTACAACTACCCCGATCACATCATCTTGGCCATCATAATATCTCTCACCAAGAACAAACGGAGAAACAAAAACAGGCTCAAGAACATGCTCGTTGTCCATAACGGGGGGACTGTTCGAAAGGGAAGACCCATTAAACACGGACTCTACAGCGGGAAGCATAAGAGTAAGGGTAAGGGAAGTGAATCATCTCATGCATCTCGTGCCCTCCCTGAACGTTCAACTACCGCACTGATGCCTGAAAGAACAGAGCAGGAAGTATCAGTCGACACCGAGGCTGCCTGTGCACATGCCTCATCGGCCCCAGCAGCAGCACAGAAGAAACCAGTGGCAGCTAAGGCTAAACAAACACAGGGTTCGTCGAAGCAGCCTACAAGCAACAACGCTGCTAAACCAGCCAAGGAGAGTCGTCCAAAAACGGCTAGAAAGTCACCATGGCTGAGCCAACCAGCTGAGACAGTTGAAGATCCCATTTTGGGTGACAATGACGATGAAGACGAGCAAAGACCAGCAACCAAAGCCAAAGAAATGGCCCCTGTTGTCCTCAACGTAATGAATACTGGGGCAACACAGGCACCGGTCGACGGTATCCCTCCAGCTGTTAGAAAGAGGATTGCTCAACGGTTTACTCCGCCTCCCAATGCTGCTAACAAAGAGCTCCCATCCAAGTCAAGTGGAGAGTATTTTATTCTTGTCAATAATAGCAAGGTTGTTTACTCCCTTTCGCTATCATATAAACAATTTCGAGCAAAGTGGAATGATCAGGACACCTGGTACCGGTTTTCAGCTTCGGGTGGTCCCCAGAACCTCCTTGATGACGAGGACAAGTACAAGAGGTTTCTGGCTGCCGTCAAGAAGACCAAGGATGTGCCGGTAATGTGGGTACACTCTGATGCTGATTACATGAGTGGGGATGACTCGATTTACTACGCAGCACCAAAGACACCGTATCCAAAACCAGTGATGCCCATTGAATCTCAAATAGCCCCTCCTGCTCCGGTTGCTGCTGCCAATTCAATTGCTGATAAGTCGGAGCCTATTCCCTTGTCACCGGAGATTCCAACTTCTACCAACCCGGCACCAACCGCTCCTACCAATGTACCAGCTAAACGCCGTGGCAGACCTAAGGGCAGTAAAAACAAGGCTCCTTCTCAGAAGAAAACTAAAGACATGGAAGAGAAGGTTACATCCACTGCAAAAGGCCGTCAGAGTGCTGCTGCTGCGGCAGCCGATGATTCAAATAAGGTGGTTGAGAAGCCAAAGAGAACTTGCAGGAGGAAGAAGGATGACGGAAAGGAGGAGCTTAAGTATCAACCCCCTACTGCAACTTGTCCACTGATCGTTGAAGCTGACAGGTATCAGTGATAGTGTAACCAACAATACCGAACCAAAGCCACAGATCCCTGGTAATAAGACAACAACCAAGGCCAAAACGAAAGACAGATCTACTCAAAAGCAGTACTCTACTCAGGTACCACTGAGTACACTTGGCGCTATGCCGGACCCTACCCCTCCCTCTGCTCAGCCTGAGCCTGTTGAGGAGAATGAGCGTAGGATATTGATGCCCCCTTCTGCTCAGCCACAGGGTCTTCACACCCTAACACAGGCCCCTACTACACAGCGCACATTGACACATGTTCCAACAGCTTCTACACAGATTAGGTGTGGCTTGATGCCAAGAGCTGCTCAACTTAGGCTATCTACACAGAGTTTAATCCCCACCCAGGATTATGCCAAGGAGGATGGCTTTGCTATCGAGAAGATTCTAGGACTTGATGATCCTTTTGGTACACCTGCCGTGAACCAGAACCCACCGGCTATCCCGAGAAAGTCAGCTAGGAGACCTGTCTTTGGTATCTCGTCTACACAGACACGCACTGCAGGCTATGAGACTCTACAGCACCACACTAGCTCCTCTCAATCGCAAGTGATTCGTGGGGCGTCCAGTCGTGGTCCGCCGTTGTGGAAGATCCAAACCGAGGCCACTGCCATGCCCCCCCCAGCTATGGCGCATCGCACTCGCACCATAAGAGACTTCACGACTGCAAAGGAAGTTTACAACAACTCCACCGTAGGCAATGCCAACAGTCTGTATCAGCCTTTGACAGGGCTAATGGGAGTCGGCGTAAGAGTTAGCACTGCTGTTACCCAAGGTACTGGACCTCCTTCCGTGGAAGGGGAGGCTAGAGCTATGACAAAGATGCTTGCGTACAATGTGCTGAGGCAAGTGCCTGCTCTTGCGAAGAAAGGCGACACCATTGAAGCCGAGATTCAGGCGATAAACGCGCCATTGAAAAGGCCTGCAGAGGCGGACGCTGCCGGAAAGGTCACAAAAAAAGCTAAGATCGGAACTAATATGTTTAGAAAGCTAGCGTACGGACACGGGGTGCCAGAAACGCCTAACTAATTTCGGCGCGTATGAGAAACACATATACAAGGGTATGTTGCAACACAAGGTTTTCTTTAAAAATTGGCTATTATATTTGAAAGAGGCGGTTTTTATCAAGATGGACTGGCGCGAGATTTAAAGGGCGCTAGTGTTAGCACAAGGAGGTAATGTTGTTGCTATAATTGTTAATTATAGTGCTGGTAAAGTATTATACTTTTAGCTTGATGCGATTTATTTAATCGTCTGGGGAAAGGGTACGGAAAGGTGTTGGAGAATTCGTAGAGTGATTTAAAGTACAAGGAATAAAAAGGTGTTAATAAATTCGTCGAGTGCGTTAAGGTGAATGGTCCTTCAAAATAATATTAAATGTTGTGAACAAAATTGTAGGTGTAACCGTTAGTGAAATCGTTTGAAAAATTGTATGTTTAAATGTTAATAAAATTGTTGATAAAATCGTGCATGTATAATGATAATATTTAAACTAAATCGTCAGTTTAATCGTATGGTTAATCGTTAGTAAAATCGTGCCCGCTGCCTGATATTATCTTTGGTAAAGGATCGGTAAAGTAGTTCGTAAAGTCATGAACAGAGAGGACGGTCTTGTAAGAAACTCGTTGACTTTATTGTTAGTAAAATCGCAAGTAAAGTCGTATACCGGAAAATGCCATTGCTTTGCTTCACAGTAATGTCATCAAGTAACTCATCAGTATAATCGTTGGTCAATTCGTATCCTGATTTTGCGGTATATATATTTCGTCAGCTATCTCGTTCGTAAAGTCGTTAGTAAAGTGGTAACCACGATATGATATAGATATCTTGTTTAACAAGTCGTCAATGAAGTTGTAAATCAATTTGTAGACTCCGTTTGCCTGATGCAGGAATGTCGTTGGATATATGTGGGATAAATTGTTAGTCAAATCGTTGTCAGCACCACGCTGCAGGCAAAGTCCTCAGTAAATTCGTTTGTAAAGTGGGCAGGAATGTCGTATGCAGATAATTGCGGGTGTGGGCTCTGCTGCAAATTCGTCAGCAAACTCATCTGTATAGTCGTATGCAAAATTGTTCACACAGAAAACAACCACCAAGTATTAAGGTAAAACTCGTCAGGGAAAACGTTAGTAATGTTGTTCTCTCTCCGCAGATGAATCAGTAAAGTCGTCAGGTAAATCGTCGCCCTCTTGGGCTATTGCCTGGATAATTATAAAACAATACGTGGATATTAGCGAGTAAAAGTTTAATCGGCTGTGTTTAATCGGCCCTGGGAAAGTCGTATCTACGGACTGGGATGCATTTCCGATGCATTACTCGATGCATATAGCACGGTACCACAGGCTATTTCGCGCACAATAAATAGTGATGCTTTTACATACACATTTCCGACACGTTTTTAGAGCTGGTAGAGGCGCGAGTACGCTGTGAGTGTAAAATGGCACCATAGTTGATTATATAGTCCTCCAGATCAACTCGAAGCTACGGCAAGATAACCATGACTATTGCTATATACTTTTAGCCGTCAGACCAGTTGTCTCCGGGCTGAAATTAGTTTTGTAGAAAACTTTCCTTTACAACTTTCGCACTAGTACAAAGTTTTTGGTGCGTTTGTCTAAACGGTTCCATGAGATAATGAGGTTGCTAATGTACTGATAGGGTCCGCACAAAATGTGTATCAATGAACAATCATGAGATCCTTTCGGGTTTAGCATTAGACCCATCAGATCCACCCAAGGAACCAAGGGGTTGGTGGGTTTCGCATGGGATTATGGGGAGCCTAGTGCGCATGTGTTGAGGTCCGAATTGTCGAGTTATGAAAATTTACATTGTTTACGTGTAGAATACCCAGTCAAGGTATGTAGCTGGAATCTGTTCTTGGAAAGCTCATCCTCACTAATCCCCTAGTTGTCGCGAAAAGCGCCCTATGCTAGACGATTTGACTGGATTCCCATCCCTTAATGCCCTTAAATCACAAATCATAGCCCTCAAATTTAAATCAACGTGTTCTTTTAGACTCTGCAATATATCGGCGGATGGGCGATTGATACCGACCGACATATAGCTAGCGAGAGGATCTAGAGCCTGGTTTTCAAAAGGGTACATGTTTTTTCAGCCCGCCAGGCCAAAGCTCTCGAGTCGCAAACCCCAGTCATCGGCTGTTGAGTGCGCCGAGCATAACGGTTTGACTTACCCCACAATATGCCACCTGCGGAGTATATGTACGGAAGTTTCCACCCATCTCTCTGAACCTTGACAAGGGGGGCTGTTTTTTTTGGGGGGGGAGGGGATACCGGGCTATCTCTTGATCCTTCAACCCAGATCATTGAAACCTGCGATTGCGCGGGTAGCTTCTTTTTTACCATAGAGCCTAATTCCATTTATGGGGTTTAATGCGCACTGTATTCCAAAGGACATAGCTTAAACCTTCTGCATCCCATTGCACCCCTTTATGATATCCCGGGTTATGTCGACCCAGCTATTCAGACCGATATAGATGATCATATAGGAGGCTTTATATATTTGAATTCCGATCTGTGGATCCCCTTTAGTAATCGTGGTATGTTAAAAAATCGAAGCAGATAATGTGCGCATTTGTAATGTAAGTTTTTCCTGTTGTTCCGTGGCCTCCTTTTGAATGTCGTATCGGGGAGGTCTCAGGTAGAGATGCGAAGTAGCATTGTCTGTGCTTAGTTTTCTTATCATAATTAGAAGTACAAGTGCTGTAAGACTGGGTCGTATACTCTTACATTCCGCACTGCTCCTGCAACTATCCCGAAGGCCGACCTGAGCTCTGAACAGGCTCGGACAGAATATCGGAGATTCATCTGTCCATAGAATACCGAGGTGACAACGGGAATATCGCTCATCATGTGTTTAGGTTGGATCTGGATGCTGGATTTCCGTTGAGAAATCATGATCAGCAGTAAAACTTTCCTTGGACTGATACTTGAAACTCTCAGCCGATATGTCAGGACTATGTAGTTGTATTTTTCCCACTGTAAAGTATTAGGATCGATGTCGCTTAGAGGTGTGATCATTGAATCCCTGATCACCGAAGACTTCAAGCTTCTCGGGAACCTGGAATCCACGGGACGTCCACCGCAACTGCAGGTCAAACTAGGCTACTAATCCCCAGGCTGGAGGGAGCACGACGGTTCCACCGCTTCATGAAACATGTTGTTTCTACCCACTGTTTGCCGCCGCTGTCTTTGGCTAGGAGTTTCAGAGTTGCTCGCTATCTCGGTGGAATGGGTGGAATGACAAAATCACGAAGTGTGAAGTGTAAGGATAACCCCCCCCCCTTTTTTCCCCGGGTCCTAACGCCTTCAGTTGTGTTACTAACTGTGCCCGGCTTTCTCTTGCAGGGGCGGGTCTTAACCGAGTAACGTGGTTGTAGCCTTATAGGGTGCTCTCTACTTAGTCTCCACGTTTCGTTTAGATGCCTGCCAAGATAAAGCCAAGAGGTTGAGATTAAGTTTCGTCCAATATATTATGCACCCCTGGCACATAATATATAATTTTTGTCGAAGAACAAATGCGTGATTGACGACCCAAAGAGTTGGGTGATTGCCTACGTATACCAGACCCGCTTTGAGATCCGACACTGCTAGCAATGGAGTGAGCTGAGTAGAGTACGTGTAGCTACATGTAAGTACGTGCATGTACATGTAGGTACTTGCATCTTGCACGATACTCAGGAACATGGTCCCTGGACCAATCTGTCGGCTACGCTATCTCTACTCGACCCCAATCTATTGAGGGGGTTTTCCGGTACCTGGCTGAGATGTCTAAAATACATTAATTCCTACTATTACATATTTTCAAAAAGTGTGACAATACATAGTAGCAAGGGCACGGGCTTTACTTTCATGATCTGTATCATCCTGGAATCTCCAATAGTTGCATTTCTCCTTTGGTTCTGTTAATATATGGAAAGTCTTATATAAAGCTTCCATTCCTCCACCTCAATGCCTTTCTCTCACCAGTCCAGTTCACTCTCTTCATTCATTCACAGCTAGTCTTGATCAACGTTCTTTTTCCATTCCCTTCTTATCTTTCCACATTCGTTTTCAGGAAAAACGCTACTTTTCAATACACACAAAGCTCATTTGAAATGAAATTCGCAATCTTCTCCGTCAGCTTTCTCGCTGCCTTCGTTGCAGCCGCACCTGCTTCCGTTGGAAAGCTCAACAAGCGCGCCGCTGCCTCCGATGCTGCCTCTGTAGGTTACGCTACCCAGAATGGCGGTACCAAAGGTGGTTCCGGTGGCTCTACCACCACTGTTTCCTCCCTTGCTGCCCTTCAGACTGCGGCAACTTCGTCCGGCTCGAAGGTTATTGTTGTTAAGGGAACCATCACTGGTGACACTGTCATCAAGGTTGCATCTGATAAGACCATCGTTGGTTCCGACTCTAACGCTAGTATGTTTTCTCGCATTATCAATCTTGGCAATTGAGTGGATCCATATGCATGGAAAATTATACTAACATATCATTGATAGTTCTTTCTGGCGTTGGTCTCCGCATGAACGGCGTCTCGAACGTTATCATCCGCAACTTGACCATCAAGAAGGTCCTCGCTTCTGCTGGTGATGCCCTTGGTATCCAGGCTTCCAAGAATGTCTGGGTTGACCATTGCGATCTGTCTTCTGACCGTGACCACGACAAAGTAAGCTACCCATTACCGGGAATTAATTCTGACCTAATTAATTTCTAATATATGTTATCTTTTAGGATTATTACGATGGACTCCTCGATGTCACCCACGCCTCTGACTACATTACCCTTTCCAACAACTTCCTCCACGACCACTGGAAGGCATCCCTCGTCGGCCACTCTGACTCCAACGGTTCTGAGGACACCGGTCATCTCACTGTCACCTACGTCGGCAACTTCTTCTATAACTTGAACTCCCGTGGTCCTTCTTTCCGTTTCGGTACCGGTCACATCTACAACAACTACTACCTCTCTGTCTCCGATGGTATCAACACCCGCCAGGGTGCGCAGTTGTTGGTTGAGAACAACGTCTTCGTTGACTCTGACAAGCCTCTTTACTCCACCGATGCTGGTTACGCTGTTAGTTCCTCTCTTCCTACGGATTATTATTCTTATTCGATTGTAATTACTAATACCTTAATCAAATAGTACGCTTCTGGCAACGACTTCGGTGATGGCGAGAACACAGCCCTTACTGGTACCCTCAAATCGGTTCCTTACTCATACACAAAGGTTGCAGCATCCGCTGTCTACTCTGCTGTCTACGGAACCGCTGGTGCCACCCTCACCTTCTAAATGCGAAATTAGAAGGCCTTAATCCTAATCTGGTTGACCCGGAGCGGCGGTCAAGAAATTGTTTATATGGCGGATGGATATTTTAGATAGCTAGTTTTTTGTACTATATTTATCGTGCCCCGAAAAATAATATTGCGGTTGATTCCGTGAAGCTTACGCTAAATATTTCTACCTATTCTTTGAGTGATATTCGAATGCTTTAAATCTGTGTTTATAAAAGTTAGAGCCCCCCCGGGGGAATGCCACTATGTACTTATGTAGGTATGTACATGTGACTATCACTTGGCACGAGTGATCATTTGTGATCGACGCTTCAGTTTTACAATACACTCTTTCTTTCTTGGCTTGTGTAATAATTGCTTCTACACTTCTAACCGGCAGGTGAAACAACCGCTGTGGAGAATAAATCGAATCAACAATTTCCCTCACTCCAGTTCGATCCGGTATTAAGATGGTCGCTCAGCGCGTTGTTGCGGATGTGTTCCGCGAACTTGCCCTGATAGGGTATTACTGGTATTGGTTTAGCGTGGTGTAACGAAGTTCCAAGAAACCAAGTTTTATGCCTGGTTATGAAATACTCGCGGCAGACAAAAAGTAACGGACAATGCAAGTTTTGTCTCTGGGCCTTTTTTGCAGTAGTTCACGTCTAGCACGCGCACCCATTGGTGAACCAAAAACCTGCATTGTCCGGTACTTTATTCCTGCCGCGAGTTGGTTCCTAAATTCTGGGACGGGTCGAACGAGATCGAAATTGCCTTGATAGGGGGTTTAAGATCTATTTAACTTACGGTCTGTCAGATATACTTTATACGTTGTAGCATCTAGAAATGAAGGTGATCGACCAACCAAGATTTCACGGTATGAGATCCGTAACTGCGGGTTTCTTCTGGAGATGATCTTTTGTGGTAACGAGAAAAAAAGAATACTTTACATTACATGCATCGATATCAAACAAAATGAGAAAGACAATAGACAACAAAACAACTAGCTGATATTTCCTCCTGCATACTACAAATACAATCACATAATTGATCTCGTCAAAGAAAATAATATTACAAGGGCAGCTTGCCCATTCGCATCCATCGTATCGTCATCTCCAGCATAATACATGTCAAGTATAACGGCGCATTTCCTAGTGAGCGGGAACACTGCGGTTGGTAACTCCCGGAACAGGCGAGGAATGACCCGAATGGTGATGGTGATGATGCTTTCCGTGTCCGTAAGCATCGGGGTGTGTCTGGTGAGCTCCACCGTTTTCCCTAACCTCGGGCTCACCTTCAAACATGTCGATGGTCTCGTTGCGGCCTTCAAGAACACCACCGGCACGTTTGTATTCCTCGAGTGTCATCTTGGGCTGGACGGTTACGGGATGGAAAGTAGGGGCGTGCTCGATTCTTTCGTGGATTGGAACAGTGGTGTGGATAACGGCGGGCTGGATAACCTCACGCTCGATAACGGGTTGAACTTGCTCATAAACATGATGGTGAGCGTGCTCGCCGGTGATAGTGGCGCCGGCAATGTTGGTATGCTCGACGGGAAGAACCTCGCGAGTAGATTTGAATTTCAATTTCTGATAAGGTTAGATTATTTGGCACTACCATATTGTAAATCCTGTTATTTTGGGGGGTAAATTTGATGCC